ATATATATATATATATATATATATAAGCTGTTTGGACAGCCTTCTTATGTCAAATGTTTTAGTACCGAAGGAATCTGCGAAATCTATGCGCACCTTTGGTGAGCCATATTTCCACTAATCACCGCTAATCCTCTGTTTTTTCCAGGGGATTCAATAGGAGTTGGACTGTTTTTAATGCAGTATCTCCTAGTTCAGATTCACTTTATTCCACCATTCGCCTAGGAAAACGGAAAAAGAAACGTGGACACCGAGTGCCGCGTTTTCCTTTCTGTTTTCCACAAAGCTTTCATTCAGACTTGCAAATAGTGTGCAGAATTAGTACGTTGCCGAACCTAGTCCTTTTGTCAGTTATCCGGCCCACGCTAATCCTATTTTTCTGTTACCTCGCTCACTGTGAATAAAGTTTGTTGACCCTTGCAGTGGGGATTCGACCAAGCGACCGAAACGATAGGTGGTATCTTGACAGTAAAGTGCGGTCACTATGAGACTGTTTATCGTGGCTCTTTCACGTAGCCGGCACTTCGAACAAGAACCGAAACACACTGAGGTCACTGTAATTTCGCGGCCAGATGCTCATCGATGCTCATAAGCGCAGACACGTCAAACAACACAGATCCGTCTGCACATAAATACACTTTGCCGATCATTGCGCGAGATGCCCAGTTTGCATATAGTTTTGACAAGTGATGTTGTATTCATTTCCATTCGCGGCGTTGTTGCGACAAAACACCCTGTGATGATCGGCCCTCCTGTGGTAGATTGAATCCGACGTTACCGAGAAATACACACCACTGTTAACATTATTATTGCATCATGGTGACAAAAGAGGGTGACAAGTAACCAACCATAGGTATCTAATTAGCATGAATCAGCCTAGTCGTGCAGTGCGTTGCTCACAAGACAGGCGGCGAAAGATGCGAGCGCACATGGTAGATAAGGGCCCATGAGATATCTTTCCCTTTGACGATCACATCTGATGGTTGCAAGACAGCGTGAAGGTTTCGAAAATACATTAAGTTATATATAAGTAGAGTAAAGGAGTGCAGGGTGATATGTACAGTCTAAAATCCGCAGGAAATCCCTGCTTCATTTGCACTGAGCGGTCCCTGAATTTTTCAAAGTCAGGTGATCTGTCGTTAAGAGCAGGTGAAATGGAGTTCTAATGAACCATACTGTTAAGTGAAATCACGTGGAATGGCGTCAGAGAACAAGCACAAGGTTTACCCACGTAGTTGAGATAAACAATGAGAGCATTTAAGGCAGATATATACACACGACTATCTGGTGCCACATTTCCTCGGAATGTTAAACAAACAGATTATAAATAAGCGTAAAGAACGAAGTGCGTTAAAAATGGCACTGGGACTGCGATTAAAGGGGTTAATTTCCGATACTCGATACCCACAGAGTTCCCTTATCTGGTAACATCAATAGCAAGTAGGTTACGTTAAGTCAACATTGGTGAGAGGGTAAGCATCATAAGTTAGATAACTGTCAAAGAAGACATGCCTACCGAAAGCCCTCTGCATAGCAGAACAGAAAATGTTCAAACCAACGCAAAAGATGTGGAAACAGTTGTCGAATACACTCACATGTCCATCTGCTTCGACCGACTCGACGATTTCCCGTCTCACCATGTACTTCTTGCCATGTGGGTCGGTTATGGTTTCAGTCACCACTGATCGTGTGGCAGCTAGCGCAAGGGGAAGATGCAGGAGAGTACCAATGAAAGACAGAGAATATTGAACACGGAGCAACAATGAACCTGGAACAAGAAGACATTGAAGTTGCAGCTTCGGTGCCCACCGAAAATGAATGTGACATGCTCCGGAGAAATCCTCCGCTTGCTGCGATATTCCAGGACAGAACTCACGTGACTGCACTGACATGCGCCATGGATGAAGACTCAAAAGTCTCAATTAACCTGATTCTAATGTAGCAATCAACGTGCCGAAGCCGCGGAGAAACATCCCTATTCATTGAGTTTGTTACCATAACCCGCTGGTGAGCTAATACACCAGGCAACGATAGCATAATGGTACCTCATACTGGCGTTTCGATGGCACCGAACCAGGAAGTAAAAAGGAGACATAAATGATAGAAAGGAAACAGTGCAGATGGATATAGAATGCAAGAGTTGAAGTTAAACTAGTTAACATTCAGGCTGAATGCGTACACGCTTCGCTAGTGAGGTATGGACGAAAACATCTGGCTGTTATGAAAGTAGGGTGACCTATATGGGACAGCCCCCTCGCAGAATCAAATGCCATACTACACAGAAAGTTTTGACTCACAGATAACTCGGCCATAGATAAACTTTAAATAGAAAGCCAGGTCAGCAGACAATAATAAATGCGAGAAATGATGGGAGCTATGAGCTACGTCCTGTAAGGTCTGCAGTGCATATGACTGCGTTACATCTTTTCTTTCTCGAAACTAGTATTATCACGACATTCTTGGTACATTTTACATAAATTAATGAAAAATATGCTAGAATATACTTCTTCGAAATCCGCGCACACCTAGTGGATATTGCTAGTCGCAACCAAATCCAGTAGCCGTCGAGTTCATATCCCGCTATTAAGACAAATCCATCAACCAAAACTGATTCCCTCCAGATGAGCGGGTAAAGTAAACTAATGCTGAGACAACGCAACATAACCACTGATCAGTGTCAGCCAGTACTCGAGTACGTAGCTAACTGTTACGAACCTACTGTTACGGATCCATCGTTGCCACCCGATAACTGTGTGACCGGTAAGAGGCCCGAAAGACTTGAGAAACTCCTTTCCATCGAAATCAAAACAACAAAGCCGGAATTGGATAGCGGTAATGTTTACAAACGCAGAGTTGAACATTAACAATACATACAACAGTCTGTGCTTCCAGCACCAATCCCGGCTTCGAATTACACACATGTACCAAGTAACGGAGTCACAATACACGATGTATTTTATACGAAAAATGAACCAAGGTAACTAACCAACCAAAAGGACGCTACACAGAGCCATGCGCGTTGAGTCTGTGTGCCACGCACGCAGCGATGGTCTGGCTTTGCTAAGTTTTAACGGTACGAAGAGAGGGGAGCCGAAAACAATGAAGTACACGAATGAAAAGGTTTTCAAACATGACCTGCGCCCGTAGTTCTATTCGATGCAGCGCCAAATTACTCGAATTTTTAGGCTTCATAAAAGAACCGCGTTGGTGAGATAAGGATAAAAGGGGACAAACATGAGTTCCAGTAAACATCGGAGGAGTGTTCGATACGTTGTCGTAGTCCCTGACAGGTCTTGCGATTTTCCAGTGAGAGGTATGTAGCAATGTAACGGCGGAAACCTAGTAGGCAAAGTGGTAACTGATTAACAATTTCCTCCTACATGTGACAGGAGCTGGCTCCACTATGCCAAGCGGAACTCGCTGATATACTTATATATATATATATATATATATATATATATATATATATATATATATATATATATATATATGAATCACCTAGCGCATTCATTAAAGACTTATCTCTGTTTGGCTTGTTGGGGGAGTCCATTGCAGTGAACTTCCAAATATCAAGCACTCAGTCTCATGACTATATGAGTACGATTCGTTTTCTTACGCAGCAATCATCCATGTGTTTCAGTGTGGGTAATTTCTCCCCACCCTCTTAAGTGAATGTTGCGCTAAATGATTTTTTGACTTTTCTGCCACTGTGATTCCTATGCAATACGCACAGAGTCAGACAAGCGAAACTCCTTTAGACTGTCCCGCGCTTTGGTACCGTTCGTACGCGATGTTTCCAATAGCTGTTATTTGAGTGTGCTCCCGAATTGGTGTATCAAGTAGGAGGAAGTAATTTGGTTTTGTTTTTCCCAACACTAACATTCCACGACCGACGGTTTCGTCCTTGTTTGGACGTATCAATTGCAGTTAATCTGAGCTAGGGTACAACTCGGGGCTTAGTGGTTAACGGCTCACACTTAGAATACTGAGATCCACTGAGATCCGTGAGCAACGCTTGGTATATCAGCAAGGAATTCACGTAATGTTTTAAAATTGAGTAGAAAGCGAATAAAATTCGGGATTACAGAACAAATCCAGTTGGAAATTCAAATAAATATGTGAGTTAGCAGTAACCGAAGGACGAGAAACCGGTTTTGTTGAAACTTAAGTAAAAAACGGCGATCCAGGAGTGCTCCAAAGTAAGACGACAACATTGTTAAGCAAAAAGCTGGATTTCAGATCCATTACGAAACTCGGGGAGGTTGTTGCTGTGAATGTAAAGTCAAAAGATAGGTTTGTGAGAACCACATTTAACCTCCCTCCAGAAGCCAGCTTTCAAGCCGAGATAGAAGAAAGCGCTTAAGGTAGCATCCAGTGGCTTCATAAGAAAATCGTAGGGTAGCACATTGGGCAAGATACTCAACGAACGCACAATAACTGTCATTAAGCAGAGGAAAGTAGGGGACAATGATATAATACTGGAAAAATAGTGAGGCCTTGACAAGTACCGTAGGATGATCTGGATGAAGTACACAAGTTCAAGAAATAAACCGTCGCCAACCAGGTTAAGCCGAGCAACTGTGGACACAAGATGAAGTTGACACTGACATGAATGCAAGTCCGTCTAGAAGAATCTCGTTGGACGCTAGCAGGCACAACTTACGTTATTCTTTTGTCGCCACTCTATGGACGCGGATCATAGAATGTAATGCAAATGGTGCAGACCATTGTTGAATCTTTTGAAAATGTACAACGTGGATGTGGAAATGACATGATTAGAAAGAGCCTTCCATTGCTGAGAAATTCCGAGAGATAGAAATTCCGGTGACATTCCAACAGGCTGTATTGTATGTTGAGTACCAGCTGGTGGCCCCTTAGTTTGACAGAAGTAGTGACAGGTGGTTGAATTTGCAAAATCTGATAGGCCAGGACGAGGTCCCCCGTATAGGAAGATAACCTCCACTGTAAACCCGTGGGGATTTCAGTCCCTCTACATTTTTGTTGCCCTTCACCGGAGGGTCTCGAGAACAGCCGGGACACGTTTCAACCGGGGTTGTTAGGCCAGAATCGCATGCTCCCCATGGAACCTGACATAACGATTGGGTATTTGTGGGAAGATGGAACCACAGTCCATAAGAGACCAATATGTTGATAACCCGTTTCGAAAGTTTCACTGTATGCTTCGAACAGCTGCGGCTATTCTGAATCCCTACACAAATGTCACACTCATGTGTGGTAGTCACTCAGTACACACATGTTATTTAGTCGATGATGTTAAGCGGGAGTAGATTCGCCTCTGACTGTTCAGAGGCACGGATCAGGTCTCATAACAGCAGGTCGGAATTTTTCTGATTACCAATCGCTCGTCATATCTTGTCATCAGTGGTAAAAAGCAAAAAATTATACTTGATAAGACGCGTAAGGTCATTAATGAGCAACGAGGATTATCGCTTCCCCAGTCCTGACCTTTGTGGGACGCTATATTCCACCTCAATTCGATCATTTGATGAGCCCTGAACTCGCACGTACAACCGCTGTTTAAGAAGAAAGTCAGCAATAAGTCTAGGAACATAGTGCCTAATTTCGTAGGTTCACATACACTGCAGAAGGATCCGGTGATCCATGTCCATCGCAATGAGGTGCGATGGTTTGCGTGCTTCGAAGATCCACTGAGCCATGCTGGGTGGTGCTTTTGCATCTTCAGAGCCACTCATACTAGATTGGTCAATGGTTAGAGGCCGGAAAAACTCAGCCTCCTGGTCCTACAGGTTGCGGATTGAAATGAGGGTGGTCCCTTATTCTTTAAACGGACTCCTTGCAGCCCACCGCTAAACGCGCTGCCTTGCGGTCAGGTTTTTGAACCAAAGGCTTTGGTTGAGAACCATAATAGTTTTCCTGTCTAGGCCTGGGCAACCTGACAGTATCCTGCCAGTGGAATACTATGAAACCTTCATGAAACTATTCCTTGATGCTCTGGCCGTCGCAGAGAGTAATGAACGGCACCACATTTACTGTATCGAGCAGAGTGGACAGGGGTTGGGATGCTACTGCTGAAGCCCTCCCGTCTTCTTATTCCCTCTCTCAAGCTTTTCCACTCTTATCGTCCCGTTGCAACTTTACGTCTATCCCCCTGTTTTCAAAAGTCCGATTCTTGGCCCTTCCCCACCTTGCTGAGGCACAGTAGCTGAGGTGTTTTCCACCTCTAGCTAACGTGTATAATGATAAAGATGGTGACCCATATCGTCAGTCTTTGAAGGAATCTAGAGAGATGACATAGATTCCGGTTCCGGATCCCGATGTTCCGGCCCAACTATCACCCGAAGACGAGATGAAATCTTTAAAAAGTACGGCGAAAGACGATTTAATGCTAGTCTGTTTTATCAGAAAGAAGGAAAGATGAAGAACGGACCAACGGCCATAAATCATCCAGTCCCCAAAAAAGCATAGTTTGTGCAATAATGAAACAATACTGTGACTGCAAGATCATAGAACAAAATCAAAAGAAAATACACAAGGACGAACCTGTATCGTTCGCTGACCGTTCAGACGGAGCTTGATCAGTTAACTGTGTAGTGTTTCCACTAAGTGGAGGAGCGACGTTGTCCAGATACCTACCGCGAACATTCCCTGGAGGACGATAGTGTGCGACCACAACACATTTCCCAGCTGCTCTAGTTTTACCGAAACCAACTTCTCTTGTGGCGTTCCAAACCAGTTGAGTAAAATTACCTGGAGAAATGAAAGAAACACGGAGGCAATGGAGCTTACAAAGGGTATAAAAGCGAATGCTTGACATGTCTCGTAGGTTGGAGGGTGAAAATTACGAAATATAAAACAGTGGCAGTAAAATAACGCGTGAGGAACATGACTCATCAAGGGGTTTGGATTAGCATATGTGGAGAAGTCCTGCCTGGAGTTTAGGAGGGTTATGAGATCGTGCACTGTTTGTTGTGCATTAATGCCAGCATCTGATGGTCATGGGCTATGTAAAGCAGTGTAAATGTGTAAGGGTATCGTCAAGGCGGTTTTTGAATCGAGGAACATGGGTGCATTAATTACACGCGCCGGTAGGGCATTCCAAGGCTGTGCCACGCGGAGGAATAAAAAGTTTCGTCGACATTCTAGTCGGCTGTACTGTGTGGCCAATTTGAACTGATGACCCCTTAAAGGTGTTTTGACTGTTTCAAAGGAGTGGTATGGGTGGTTGAGGTTTTTTAAGATCAGATACACCATTATGAGATCGCCCCGTAAACGCCAATAACGTCTGATATACTTTATTAGAGTTCTCAGCCTGAGTGCGTATAGAAGGCGTAAAAAATCTCCGACGTTCTTCGTCGCCCTGCGTTGTGCAGTATCGAGCGCGATGACGTGGCACTTCGACAAAGGTTGCCACGCTTGGATAGCGTATTCCGCATGCGGCCTCACGTACGCGCCAAGCATTTTCGGAATGACTGAACCGTCAAATTTCTCAAAAGCTCTAAGAAAAAGGCTGAAATGCTGGTTTACTTTCATTGATACCTTTTCAGTCTGCCTCAAACAATCAAGGTCACCTCGGACGAGCACAACGAGATCGCACTCATGAGAAGACCGCTGTGGAATTTGTGGTCATAGCCGGTAGTTATGCGTACTCTCATGGCGCATGCTCAGAACTTTGTATTTGATGGTGATGAACTGCAGTATGTTCTCGATGGACAATAGGTATGCGTCATCCAGATCATCCGGTAAGACTGTGTGATCCTCCACTGTAGCGATACATGTCATATCTTTAGATCACCGGCAAATAGTAGGCAGTTTGAAAATGGCACACTCGGGAGATCATTTGTGAAGACCAAGAACTGGCGGTGCCCAAGTACCGAGCCTTCAGGTACGCCGCAGCTAACTTCGATTGGTTCCGATAGAGTGATGCGAACCGTCACATTCAGGTGACGTTGAACGAGAAAGTCGCTTATCCAGACCAGAACGGGATCGCCGAATCCATAATTCTGTAGTTTGTGTAATAGAATGTGATGGTATAAACGGGCGAATGATTTTGAGAAATCCATGTAGCCTGCATCTACTCCTACACCAGCGTCCACAAATTTCACCCAGCATGGATGAACGATCCGTGCTTATCCGGAAAGACAGTTTTGTTACTGGCTCAGCGAACAGTTCAACCACCAGTTTCGTTACTCTTTGGGTACCCCGTGACCGCCTCAGCTACAATAGACCCCAAAATCTTGAAGATCACCGGAAGAAGTGTTATCGGGTGACAATTTTCTGGTTCTGCACCACTATCACCTTTGTAGGTTAGAGAGATGATCCCGTGCCTCCACCTCGTGGGGACGTACATCTAGGTAAGACCGCTGGAAGAGTATTGTTAACGGTTCAGCTAAACTAATAGCAGAAACTTTTAATGCCTTCGTGCGAATACCGCCTGCACTCGAAGAGCTGTACTTGTGAAAGGACGATAGGGGTTTCAATAAGGCTGTAATTGTAAAGTATATGTGGTTAAAGCCTGATGGCGGAATGATCTGCGTAGGCACGATGTAAGATGATTGCACAGGTTGGAGGGTACGACTAAATTGTTGTCCAAGAACGTTGGCCGCCTCTTGTGCCGTTTGTGCTAACCCGCATGCTGTGTGCAGGGCAGGAATTCCAAGCTTAACGCGGCGAAATTTGTTTATGTGTCTGTACAGCAGCTTTGGGTTAGAGCAAAATTTTACCACAAGGTTTTGTTGGTTCTTTACTTTATCCTCCCGGACGAGTTTGACACAGTGGTTCCTTTGTGTTGTATAGACGCCCCAATTATCCTCGCTCAGAGAGGCTATGTGGGCGTGCCATGCCAAGTCCTTCAATGCAATGCCATTCCCAGTCCTGCTCCTTAGGAAGGACTTCATCATTTTCGAACGGTGAATTTTAATGGAATCTGTTGACAGGCCACCTCAAGGGACCATTTGGCTAGGAAAGAACAGATTTTGCACCAATAAGGTCGGATAGATCATCATAATTGGTTACGACGTAAGGTTCCACGGTACTTTCTTCAAGATACCCTGCGTAGCACATGTAGTGAAACAATAGTTTAGCATGATCGCTGCTGTCCAAAGGAGTGCACGTTGTTATTACGTCGATCATGAGTTCGTGGTTAGTAAAAACGAGGTCCAAGATGGCCGGTTTGTTTCCTGTCCTGAAACGCGTTGGAGTACTTAAATGGTTGTACAGCAGTGAACCAGCGATTAGCTCTTGCAGAACATAAGACTCACGAGCGTGTAATATATCTGTGATTTGCAAACGTCATGAAGACGGTAAAGATCGACGCAAAAGAGAAAGGATTTAAATAAAAACCGGTGGACGGGCAGGTCAGTCCGACGGAAATTCGTATCGTCAGAAATTTAAATAGGCCAAACACATTCCGCAGATCAAAAAAGGCAAAAAATAGCAAGGGTTATTAGACGCACGTATTTCCTGTTACCCACCCCCAAGTTTCGACTAACAATTACCGATGCGACTCCTGTGGCTGCTCAGATGTCTTGGTGTGAACGTCCATAGCAGCCCTCGAAGCCAGGCATCTAGCTAGCAGCCCGGAGGAGATTGGCCCAACGCCACTTGAAGCTGATTGGCTAGCCAATGAAAGTCAATGGTATCGTTTTACTTTGAAGCGAACTAATGAGAATGGCCTACGTTAAAGCTCAGTGAGCGTCAACAAGCGAGTTTTCGCGTATCTAGTAGTTGCTAGAGTTCAGGAACTTTCAATTAGGCTATTTTATCATGAATTATTTAGTCTGAGGTCATATTTTGGCTGCACACTATGTTCACCGTGTATTCCATACAAGTTTTGCCAAAGGCTTTTTTTCTGATTTGGATAGTGGTTACACCGCGACCCGAGCACCTGTATCGGTTGTCCGTACTGTCAGCGAAAATACAGCAGGTTTTGGCCACAGAGATGGCGTTTAATCAAGAGGTCATTTCCAGCAGAGGAATTAAAAGCCGTTTTGATAAAACAGCAGCAACAATTCGAAACTGCAGGGCTGAGAATGAACGTGACTCTCACCCAAACACTCCAGTCTACGGCGGAACATGATGCTCAAAAGCCATCCGTTGATGCAATAATCAACAGTGTCGTTGAGTTCGTTTCTGATCACAGGTCAGGGCTAATTTCTGACGCATGGTTTTGAAGCTATGAAGAGATTTTCAAGTCGGAGCTGGCAAATCTTGAAGATGTATCAAAAGTACGACTACTGTTGCGTAAAATCGGAAAGGTGGAGCATGAGTGATATGTCAGTTATATTTTGCAGAAGAGGGTTCAAGATTGCGGCTTCGAGAATGCAATTTCCTGACTCATGAAGAAGTTTGGCGAGCAGGCATCGTCTCCCAACAATCGGTACAACTGCCTGAAACTGTGCATCGCCCATGCTGCAACAATGAAAGAGAGTTTCAGAGATTCAAGGTGAAATCACTTACGGTAGATCAGTTTGAATGTCTGACACTGACGTGCAGCCTGTGAGCTTCCAAGGATGCCGAGATTCCGACCAGAATGACCAAACTGTTGGAGTGAGACTCAAACGTCACGCTGCAAACTATAATTGTAGAGGATCATCGCATCATCAACCTGAAACACGATGCAGCTATCATTGAAGATCCAAAGATACACTCTAGGGATTTGAAGTTTAGCCGATTTACAAGACCAAGATCACAGGCAATAATCGTTAAAGACCCAATCAAGTTAAAGTACCAACAGACATTTTGGCAATGCGGAGACCGGCATTCTGTTAGATGGTGTCCACTCAACAATTACATCCGCCAGAAATTCTGTGGACACAGACGCACGGAGACCCACTGCAGATTCAAGCAATGTTGCAAGCCGATTCATGAGGTTTGAAATAAGGCCTGCAGTCATTCTGATCGAGAGTGAACGCCGATTTCAATGACAATGTCAGAGACAAAAGGAAGTTCATCACCATCAGCGTCAACGGAAGTTAGGCGCGTTTACAAATCGATAGCGATTCATATATCAGTCATATCGGAAAGGTAGAGGAGAATTGTCGGGTCGCCCGAAATCAAAACTACCAGCCAGCAATCGAAGAATGTATCAGGCCTCACGTTGGAATTGCATGGTCAAGTCGAATGAGTGTCATTATGCAGACTTTCCCGCACGAGGAACAAATTTCGTCATGAACCGACAGAATTACTCAATTCCGGGTCGAGACTAGATTGAGGGTTTCAACCTCGCTGATGTTCCAATCAACCAGAAGTATGCAAGTGTCTAGAATGACAAGTCAACAGCTGCCGAAAAAGTAGCCATCCAGCGCCCGCAAGAGAAATATGCAGCAGCCTTTTGGGAGAGCCTCGGTAAGTATACAAAAGTACGGGTCTCACAGTTCCTTAGGCACGGTGCCGTTACAGTCTTTCGCACGCAGCAACATCAATTGGTAACCAAAGCTGTATCGCTTAGAAAAAGAACAGGAACTATCCATTCGGTAAACCATCCATCCCGAGCGTCACTTATTAATATTGCACTCAATGCTGTTGTCAAAAAGCCAAATGGTCCGAATCGAATAAGAGCCGAATTCTCGACCCGTCCCAATGCGGCATTGAATGACTATCAATACTCCTTACCGGCTCCAATGGATTTGCTCGAAAAATTAAAGGGAGGTAAAATTCGCAAAGTGGGATCTTACCGATGCATACCTACACAACGAATAATATGAAGCACCACATTCAAGGTCAAGGCGCCTAACCGTGCCAAAAACACC